GAGTTCGCCTAAGTTTGCCATACTTTCGTTCGGAAAACATCATTTAACTCCTTGACTTATGATATTTTTGCTGACTGTACATCTAAGTGTGAGCTATTTACTGTTTTAGTACTGTATTAAGTTAGAAAAGCTAATGTATTATGATTAATTGCATTTGGTAATCCTCAGTCTTGCACATTGATACGAGAGCTAGAATTAGAGTTAATTTTTGTTAATAATATAACTGTTTTTATCGCAACTATACTAGAACCTGTGTTACGAGTCTGACTCGTTGTAAGGCCAAGGGGTTGAAAATAAGCATTTTAAGGGAATTAGGAGTTTCTTATGTCAGGAAAAGAATAATACGAATAAAAAAGTATATACTAATATTTTCAAATTGGTTGTATTTATGAATAATTTCTCTTTTATTTATTTGAATTTTTTGGAAATTTTCTAGATGAGAGAAATAACATATCTTCAATATTTTCTAACTGATGGGCTCGACGAGTCCTCTACCCAGTAATTCTAGGGTTAATTTAGGGTTAATTAGGGTAAATTTACTATATAATCGTTTTAACCACAATTGACGAAATTATATATTTAGGTGAATATGAATTTTTAGCGCATGATTTTCCACGACAAGCTTTGACATCATGTATATTGTATAAAGAATTTAGAGTGAAGTAGTTAAGAAGAGCAATGGTTTCTAATAAAAAAAGAAAAAAGAAATAAACAGCGCTATTTCAAATATTACAATCCAAGAAAATATACGAAATGTTGGCAATTGGTAGAAAAATTATGTTATACTTGTTATCGACTGAGTGAAGAATTTTCATTACGATTGATTTGTTAATTTGTTGATATGTAAGTAGAAAAGTATTATTGATGTTGTGTATGTCTTCGATTTCATGTTTTCTCAGAAATTCGGTGATTGTAAGACGCGCATGTAATTGTTATTTGCATAAATGTTAATGACTTTCAGTGACATACACGTGAACTAAAGTATGAATGATGCCCATGTTCAGAGCCATTGCCAAGTACATCGTAACATCGATTTCAAGAATTAATCAATATACCTTAGTTTTGTGTGGTTTATTCAATGTGTGTACAGAGTGACCCACTTTAATCAATAAATGTTAATATTTCGGAAACTAGGTTGCATTGAAAAACCTACTTTTGGGGGATTAAATGAGACGGAGGGGGACACTAGTACGTGCAGGTGTAAGTTCGCTAAGTGCAAGCGTTAAGATCATTTCAAGGTCAGTTAGATTTTTTTTAAATAACACATAGTATATTTTTCTCTTGAAAATGATAGAGACAACTTCAACGACTTCATAAGTTGCATGATTTTATTGAAAAATTCAACGATAAAACGTAAATGAACATTCCATTTGATAAAGTAACGTGAGCATCTCGTACTTCGTATGGGCAATCGTACGCTACATTATAGATTATACATTTTTACTCATAAATCAACAAGAATTTTTTATTTCAGACGTTCCAATCCCTGCCGGCAATGGTGGTCAGCAATCGATGTTCTAGCAGAAGAGCTTTCGCAATTAGCGAGTAACTCCTCCATTTTGTAACATTTTTACTTCTTAAAAATTGAAGAAAAAAGTTGAATGTTATATTTATATCCTGTGAAATAAATTAAAAATTTTCATTTAGTAGTTGTCTATGAAAAAATCTCCCAAACTGTACTTATTTTTAGACGTTTTAGGGTGGTATATCCTCTTAAATACGTGCCACTAGGGTGAAATGACTTGGAGACGTTCGGTATCTTTCCTATGTTACCTACCCCGAGGACAAGGGGGGAAGTACCCTTTTAAAAAGTCCGCGTTCAACACGAGCGGAGTCAGTTAGTCAAAGTTCTCAGTCCATAAGCGCCATTTTCGAAGCATTTACATTATCAGCCACAGCTCGATTTGATTTGTTTGCTACACTGTTGAAGTTCCGTATCCCGGGATAAAATTCCTTTAATGGATTGATCCTAAAATCAAGGGACAATAATATATAGTTACAAGATTCGTAACAGTAGAATAAAGTTTAAGGAATATAACGATACTTTGTCAGATTTTCAGAAGTAACGTTTTACTTAAAGAATTGCACAATAAAGATTTATTTTGTATTTATAATTTTTACAAATGGCGACGTAAGTGTCATATAGATGTTGCATCCACTCCATTCTTTTACTTCCCCAGTTTATTTTGGTCCAGCATTCCAGAAAAAGGAAACAAGAAGCATGTAAATTAGAGGATAATTGCATGTACTAAGCAGATCAAAATCGTCGTCATTTCCAAGAATCGACCTCAAAGTCGCTATTTTCGCTGAAACATTTTCGGCCAAAATCTCGGTCTTGTATTAGGCGAATATGAAGTGATAGGAGGTTGATTCTTGGAAATGACGTCAATTCTAGGAATTTCCGAGGACTTTAACACGCGGCGACTAAGCCTACACACCCCACGCTATTTTTGCGCGAATTTCGGAATTTTTATTTTATTTTTACACCTTAGCGGTTTGTCGGACTTAGTTTATTAATTTTTCAATATAATATTGTTTAAACAATGAGTTTTTCGCGAAAGGAAATGGACGTGGTGTGTAAGCGAAAAATAAATAGACTGTAAAACAATACTGGTATATTGTAACCTTTTGTAAAATACATTTTGTAGACTTATCTTCCAACAATTGATTGATTTTTTAATAAATAATTGCATTTCTTTTGTCGGATTTCGTTTGTTAGTGGCATGTTCTTAATTTGAACGAAAAAAAAAAAAAACAAATTGCCAACAGTACACGGAGTTCCCAAGCGGTCACCCATCTAAGTACTAACCGTGCCCAACGCATCTTGACTTCGGTGATCGGACGAGAACCGGTAGGTACATGCGCGGTATGACCGTTGACGAGATTAAAGAATTTTGTATTGCTTTTGAAGCATCGTTCTGAATTGTTGGAGGTCACGGGAGGTCATTTCCTTGATTTCCATGGTTTCCTGGAAGGTCCACCATTCATACGAAAAGGATATTAATTTTTCTAATTTTTAATAAAAGTTATAAACAATTTCTGACTAATTCACTGAATACATGGTTAATTCAATGTAAAATTAATGTATTAAGCTGTTTTATTAAGTTAAAGCATACAATAATTTTATTTAAGACTTCCACAATCATCATAAACAATCATCTGAATTGCTTTCTGACAGGAAATACTAATTATTCTGTAATTAAAATACTTTAAAATAAAGCCAAGACTTTCTTTTACTATCTACTCACTATTAGAAAAGTTAAGTGAATAAAAGAATTATAAATATTAACTGTAAAATATAACTTTTATTGAAAATGGAAAAATTAATGTTCTTTTTGTGTGAATTATAAATGAAACTCTCAGGCCATCACAGGAATCAAGGAAAGGACTTTAACGTCAGGAGAAATAAACAAATGCGATTATTTATCCAAAAATTAATTATTCATTGTAAGATAACTGTGCAAAATGGATTTTACAAAAGGTTACAATATACCTGTATTGTTTTAGAGCATTTTACAGTCTATTTATTTTTGGCTTACACACCACGTCCATTTCCTTTTGCGAAACACTCATTTTTTAAATAATATTCTATTATAAATTAAATAAATTAAGGCCGAATAATGTTAGGAACGCGTAAAAATTGAAAAGATCGTAAAAATCCCGAAATTAGAGCAAAAAACTTAGGTACTTGTGCGAAAATAGTATGTATCGAAAATTTCGGAGAAATGGTTGACTTACACTACTTATCGACTCCGAATTCTTTTCCCGAAATTAATAAGTAGTTCAAGTCAACCATTTCTCAGAGGCTCGAATTTTTCGAAATCAGTAAGTGGTGTTAGTCAACCACTTCTCAGATGCTCGGAATTTTTTGAAAACGGTAAGTAGTGTAAGTCAATCACTTCTGAGAAGGGCACTCTCAGCCCTCCTGACGTGGACAACAAAATGCATTAGGTATTAGGTTTATTCTGTTTCCCATCTGTGGTGGTGTTAGGTCTATCATTACTTCATCTGTACTTTAAAGTTTCATGCTCTTTTATCATCGACAGCTGATTGGAAACCATTTGTCTAAACCAGGGGTGTCGAATTTCTTCCCCTCCGAGAGCCGCACAAGTTTGACTCTCGGTCAGCCGGTTCATCCATTTCTTTTCCTCTAAGAGTTGCACGAGTCCCACTAAGTACATATTTATGGCTCTGGTAGTGTCTCAGTTACAAACGGGGGATTTGTGTATGTGTAGTGGTGACTAGCCTGCTGATGGGGTGGTGCGGCTCATACTCGGAGGAAAAGTTCATCAGAGTGAATTAGATATAGAGGGGGCCGTTGGAGCGGCATGTGGTCGCGAGCCGCCAGTTTAACAGCCTTGGTCTAAACCATTCATTTACACGGTAACTTCCCCTTAAGCAGCAGCAGTGTAGAATCGAAGAATAGTGGGGATGGCGTGACGGCCTATTTTCCGTTCAGTTGATGGGGCGATGACGTTAGAAGGCATCATCTTTACTTTGCGGATCTGTATCTTTCATTTTCCGCGTCAATCTTGGTTAACCTAAATCTAAGAATGGCATGCTAGTGTCTAGCACATTATAATCACGTCCGCGTGGTGGCGCACTGACCTGGTGTACCATGATTGGTGGATTTGCTATTCGCCACACACATATTTTTTTTTTTACAAGTAGCGTCACCTATCAGAGCCTTCGTAGCATTCCCTAGTAGTTGTGGCGTATTGTAACAGACATTTAACTAAGAAAATCTTATAAATTTTAATAAAAATTACTATATAAAATATCAAAGATTGTTTATCAAATGTACATGAAAGATATATTGTTAATTTTGTATCTCATATACAATGCCATCTATAGTGAGCGTGAGTATATTACGAACTAAAATATACGATCATCTGACAATCCTGTCAAAAACTTTTGTGTACGTTCGACGATGTATACGCGAAGGTGTCTTATGAAAAACTTATCTTAAAAATGTCTGTGAGAAGGTAGCATCGACAAAAATGAATAAAAATATGAATTCACCGTCTAAACTTACGGAGTTCGCTCCGTTAAGTCCCGAGGAGAGTCAACCTGTTGTAGCCTCTTTATTCTCAAAATTTTTTAACTTCACTAAAGGTAAAATTTTCCTATTTATTATGTATTAATTGTTTCAAATAAATTATTATTTATTAAAATAATCCAATTCATTTATTTTGTGTTGTGAATGTATACAAAAAATTACGAAAATAATGAATTTTTCATAGTACATAATGTTTAATTTTTAGGTTCACAAAATATTGATGATTCTACAGTATCTTCTATTAATGAAGATCAAAGCTCATCTGATTCTGAATCATGGAAACAATCAGAAAGTATCGAAAAATCACCTGAAGATGATAGCTCAAGTATAATGAACTTTCCATTGGATAGTCGTGAAGGCAGAAGTTTACCAAATGTATTAAAACGTATTAGTAATATTGTAGCTTTAAAAAGTAATGTAAGTTATTTTATATACATTATACATCATATATAAAGTAGAATGAATTATTCATTGTAATAATGTTATTAATTGATCCTAGAATTTACGTTCATATAAAGATTCTCAATTAAGAAGTTACTGGATGCCAGATAGTGTAAGTAAGCAGTGCTATGAATGTGGTGAACGATTCACAACATTTCGCAGGAGACATCATTGTCGTGTTTGTGGCCAAATATTTTGTTCAAAATGTTGTTCTGATCAAATTCCTGGAAAGATTATGGGATGCACTGGTATGACAATGATAGGAAAATATCTTTTATTTGTTACTTGTATAGTTATTCTAACAAAACTTTTGTTACAGGAGATCTTAGAGTTTGTACATATTGCTGTAAAGTAGTTTTGTCTTATTTACAATCATCAGATATGAGAAGTGATTTATCGGCAGATTTAAAAGCATTACAAGAGGATCTTCAAGTTAAATATGGAAATGATTCACTGCCTATAACTCAAAAAAGTGCAAATGAATCAGCAGAAAATGAAACTTCAATCTGTAGAAAACCAAGTGTAGGATATATGGAAGAAAAATATGCTACTGGACGGTAATAGTTCTTATTTATTTTCCTTTTCCTACTAAGCATTACAATTTGATATAATCTTAAGGTTTTGTGAAATATAGAGTTATCTTATGAATATATTTTTTAGATCAGCAACTAGTTATTTAACATCTCAAGAGCGATCTATTGTTTTACAAAATTCAGCATCTTTGAGAATGATTTATGAAGAATTATTCAGATCAAGCCAAGCAATTCTCTTACAAACGCACAGAATTAGGTTGAAAAGTTATCATAATTGCTTCCTAGCTAATGAATTAGTAAATTGGATGATAGCACAAAATAAAGCAGCTACACGGTATAAATAAAGTATTTATTTTCAAGTCTAAAAGAAGGAAAATAAATATTAAAATATAATATTTTATAGAGTGCAAGCTACTGCTATAGGACAAGCACTGTTGGAAGCAGGTTTCATTGAACCAGTAGTTGTTGATAACATGTTTAGTGACACGGCGACAATATTCAAACCAGTTAAATTATCTCATATGCAAAGTGTGGACTTGTTAACTGAAATACAAAATACATGTGATGCTCAAGAACCAGCATGGGTAAAAACAATTCCACAACATGATTCAACTACTGGTAATATACAATATTTAATATACGTTTTATGAAAACGAGATTACTAACACACATGTCATTTAGATTCAGAAAGTGAAACAAAACCTTCAAACTCAGCACAACAAAGTACTGGGCGTTTACCATCCTCAAGTTCAAGCTTTTATTTAGATTTAAATTTAGAAGCCTCTACTGTTACATTAAAAAGGCCTACATCAGAAGATTTAAATACAATTTCTGTAGATAGTAGTGATGGTGTAATTGAACAGAAAGATGTCATGGTGAAATCACATAAATGTAACTTCAAAATTGCTGATGATCTTCTAAGTGATACACTTCAGGTCCAAGAATTTAAAGAAAAAAATGGTTGGCATAAACCAACAAATCTTAGGACTGTATTTGGAGAATTATACGCCTATGAATGTTTAACGTAAGTACTACTTACATATTAATAAAAGCGATAATGTTTAATACGTAAATTTATTTAATTATAGATCTGCATATAAGCAACATGAAGATTCGTTAATTAAGCAACTTCTCAATAAAGAGGGCTTGTCGCAAACTTGGTCAGAAATAATACTTCCTATTGCTCATCAAATTATTGACCACGTCAAACCAGATTTAAATCATAATGTCGATGATTTAGATATTCGACAGTATGTACAAATAAAAAAGTGTCCAGGTGGAAGTAGAGATGATTGTGAAATTGTATCTGGTGTAGTTTGTACAAAAAATGTGGCACACAGAGGAATGAATGCAATGATAGCTCATCCAAAAATTTTGTTACTTCAGTGCGGGCTTATGTATCAGCGAGTTGAAGGAAAATTATTAAGTTTGGAACCTGTGATGTTACAGGTATTAAAAATTGAATACTTAACTGCATTATTCTTTCACATCACAATAAAAAATGTTCTGTTTATAGGAAAATGAATACTTAGGTCATACAGTTGCTAGGATCACCGCTCTTGGTCCAGATATTGTACTTGTGCATCGATCTGTATCAAGACTAGCACAAGATAGACTTAGAGAATGTGGGGTAACGCTCGTTTTGAATGTGAAGCTTAGTGTACTTGAAAGGGTTGCACGATGTACAGGTGCTAATATCGTAAATACTATTGATGCACATATAAGTGCAAGATACATGCTCGGTACATGTAAAAAATTTTATTTAAGAAATTTTTCAAGTGAAAAAAGTAAGTAATAAAAAATTCGAATTTCAAATTTTTTTTATTTCGGTCATGTGGAACTAAATATTTCTCTCTTCTTTTAGATAGTACTAAAACATTGATGTACTTTGAGGGATGTGCAAATCCACATCTTGGAGCTACAATTTTACTACGAGGTGATTCTCAGGCAGAATTAAAGAAAGTGAAAAGTGTAACTTCAATGATGATTTTTGCCGCTTATTCTTGGCGTCTTGAAAAATCATTTCTTATGGATGAATTTGCAACACCGCCATCTCCTAAGGATAATTCATTTTTGGATGAAACATCGCTGGATGATTCCACAGAGTTCAAAGAACCCAATAAAATACTGCATACTAAAAGTAGCGATGGTGATAATTCCATGTTGGTTCATAATAAAGAATATCCAGATTACACAGAAATTTTAAAAATATCAAAAGTTCAAGGAGATTCTGAAGGTGTATCGAATGATACACAATGTATAGACATCGAATGTTTAGCAACTAGAAGTACACTAACGAAAGATCTAGTTTCAGATCAGGTAGAAAATATGTTAAATTCAGAGTCTGTTAAAGAAATATCCTCTATATTATCCGAGGATGCTGATCCTTATGATACTTTGAAATTATTCAAACCAAAAACAAAATTTTTCGCAACTGATGTAAAAAGTTTAGAGGATTCCTTAAGGAGTAAAACAAATAATGGTAATTTAAATAATACCTATGGATTGGATATAAGTACTAATGAAGATCCAAACAGTACAATGGAATTATTTGGAAGTAAAATTACTGGAGAAGTAAATAAGAATGCAAAAGAAGAAAATGAAAAAGCAAAAATAAAAGATAAAGTTGTGTTAGAAGAGAAACGTATTTACGGTGAATCTATTAGTGATCGTAGTGATCCTCTCCACCAGTATTTAAATGAAGATAGACAAGATGTCTTTAGTCAAACTAGTCCAAATGGTCAGCATTTAAGCGTTGCTGATTTACCACTATTAAATAAGTTCAAGAAAGCACTGGAAGGAAGTATATTAAGTGTTTCGCCTTATTTAAAGTTTTCTATACCTTATTTGGAAACCGAGTCAGGAAGAAATTGTATATTACGAAGTTTCTTTCCGAGAGAGATTTTTTATTCTGTGCAATTTATGGATAACGTGAAGGAAATTAAAGCGGGTAATGTATCTGTAGAACAAACTGGAACTGAAAATCCGTTTATGAACTTGAAGTTGAAGCCACAGCATCCGTTTGTTCAAGCAAGATTAACTACAACTATCGATAATCGAGAAGTACAAGCTTTATTGTCTAATTTTAGAGCATGTGGCAGCCGACTATATCCAACAAATAATGTTTTATTGGATAAACAACAAGTTGTAACGCAGTCTGAAGTAAACGATCAAGTTCCAATATGGCCTGATTGCTTAGATCCCGCTAGTCATCAACGTTTATCTGTCTTATTTTGTAGCTTCTCACATACTGGTAGCGATACACCAGCGTTTTGTGTAAATCCTTCGGTAGTTAATATGGATTTGTATGGAAGGAATGATATAGCACTCGGGCGTTTCTTAGAACGTTACTGTTTAACATCTGAATATAAGTGTCCTGCTCAAGCATGTCGAGCACAAATTGCTCAACATATTCGACGATTTGCGCACGATGGCGGATGCATACACATTAGTTTAAGTGAAATGAACACCGAACCGTTTTCTCAAGAAAATACGGATCAAATTTTAATGTGGAGCAAATGTGTGAAATGTAAAAGTGTTTCACCAGTGGTACCAATGTCAGATGATACTTGGTCTCTGTCTTTTGCAAAATTCCTGGAACTACGTTTTCATGGAAGTACGTACATTAGGCGGGGTACGGACACCTGTCAACATTCGCTACATCATGATCATTATCAATATTTCACTAAGAAAAACATGATCGCCGTGTTCAAATATGCAAAAATATCGCAATGGGAAATTTCCCTGCCACCTCCTTTGATCAACATTATGTATGATCCCAAACAACATGCAGACGTGATAGAAGAGATGAAAAGTATAGCATTGAAAGGAGACGAAGTTTTCTCCTCTATACGAGAAAAATTAACAATTTTACAAACGGATATTGATAGTTTAAATGCTGCTAAACAACAGCTAACTAAAGATCAACAATATTTTAAAAATAAAATAGAAGAAATTCAATTGAAATTGACATCTCCAACTCTGGAAAATAAAAAACTTGAAGGAAAAGTGTCCGAGAAACAAGTTCAAGCTTTGATGTTCAGAATTGAAGATGGAATTGTAAGTCTTAAACGGCTCATATCAGAAGTTGTGTGTACTTGGAATGCAAAAATCTTAGAAATATCTGCTAAAAAGAAGGATGAAAGACCAAGACGATTTACTGAGCGATCATTAACAGTTGGAAGTAATAGCATAATTGACACAGACGGTTACATAACCGAAGATACTGCATCAGAATCACAGATAGAAGATTTGAGTCCAATATCTACAGATTATAACGCTACTGAAGCTATTACTACTGCACAACAGGACATACAAGGAATGGAAGGTGTAGAAAATTTGGTTAATGAAATTTTAGAGAGTAACAATCCTGAAGATATTGTTGTTGCTCAAGGTTCTCCAAAAATGCATCAAAGATCACATTCTGATGTTCTACCTACTGCTTTAGATGATGTGCTAGATAAGAAAAAGAAGAAAAAAACAATCTTGTCGCAATTATTACCTTCTGTTCCAGTTACTCAACCAATATCAAATCCTTTAGGAATTTTGGAGCATCATTTACTTCCTGTTGGGTTTGTTGATTATATTGAAACATTTTTGTATTATAGAAAGAAGAAAAATATTATGTATAATTACGTAATGTTTCAAAATGTTCTGTTTTACAGGTCAATTGTACGTATAGTGGTGTACGAGTCAGAACCCTCATCTATAATTGCATATGCTCTAGATTCACATGACTATAAGCATGCGCTCCATGAATTAATGCGCACAACGAAAGGGTCGGATTTAAACCCTAGTCCACTGAATAAACGTAAATTCCCGGAAAATAAAGAGAATATTCCTGATATAATACAATCTGGAGAATTTAAGCGACCGTCTGTTTTATCATTTTTCCGAGGAAATAGTCCGAATCCTGTGAGTCCCGTGGATTCCGACAAAAGTATTTCAACTACAGATACTAACGCTCCAAATCTTGCAACGACCACAGAAGTAGACGAAGACAAAAAAACCATAAAACAACAGAATTACATTGAAGTTCAGTTCAATGACGCGACGACAAATTTCTATTGTAGAATATATTTTGCTGCACAGTTTGCTGCTTTCAGAGAAAGCGTTTTACCTTGTGGCGAAGATGGATTTACAAGAAGTTTGAGTCGAAGTGTGCTGTGGGCTGCAAGAGGTGGAAAAAGTGGAAGTACTTTCTGTAAAACTCGAGGTACAAAATTATAAAAACATATATACTAACGTTACATAATAAGATCCAAAATAAATTTCTTTATGCACTATTAATTTTGTTATGTATCAACACTTCCTTTGTTGCAGATGACAGATTTATTATAAAGGAAATGTCTAGACTAGAAATGCAAATATTTCTTGAATTTGCACCGAATTATTTCTCCTACATGGAAAAATGTCAACAGACAAAACAGCCAACGTTATTAGGGAAGATAGTCGGTGTTTACAGGGTATCTTTTAAAAATAATACGACAAATGCAGCCCTTCGAACCACTGTATTGGTGATGGAAAATTTGTTTTATAAGAGAACGATAACAGACAAATTTGATTTAAAGGGATCAGTCAGAAATCGTCTTGCAAATCCTGATGATACATGTCATGAAGGAGAACTTGTATTACTTGATGAAAATTTGTTAAATAGTATGTGTCGTGTTAATACTGCTTTACATACAGGGTGTTCGGTTACTTCTGGGAGAAAATTTAGGGGTGATTTTAGAAGTCGATATAAAATAAAAAGTAATCGAGCATCCCACATATGGAAATTGTTTAAATTAATATAAATTTTATTCCTAGTGAGTTGCGATTCTCCGCTGTATATTAGATCGCATTCAAAAGCGGTTTTGAATAGAGCCATTGAACAAGACACAAAATTCCTAGCTGATAATTCTGTGATGGATTATTCGCTACTAGTAGGTTTAGATCCAAATTCAGATGAACTTGTTCTAGGTATAATAGGTAAGTTTAAAAAATATTTAACGATTGCAGGACTAATTTTAAAGATGTTATAATTACAGACTATATACGAACTTTTACTTGGGACAAAAAATTGGAAACAATGGTGAAGAAATCGGGTATATTAGGTGGCCAAGGAAAATTGCCAACAATAATATCACCAGAAGAATATCGAGCCCGTTTTATAGCTGCTATGCATCGATATTTCTTACCTGTACCGGACAGGTGGTCTGGTTTAGGTAGAGGTGTAGAAACATAAAAAATGTAACTTCTAAATAGTGAAATTTTCAATTTTTCAAAAATGCTACATACTAAGTGTACTGTATATACAAAATGTTAGAAAAAAGGATTATCCACTTTAAGGATGTACAGTGAGTGTTTGCTAAATATACAAAGAAAAGTTTCCAAATATAAATATAAGATTTTGATGAAACTTATGCATTTGAAAAGATACTTGATTCATACTTTTGTTACGTACCAACTTCCACGTTAAAAGCGAGTAAAAATATCCTTTACAGTTGGAATTGAAAATCTCATTTTTCAATATCTCGGGAATTTTTTGGGTTTAGAAAAATGGTTCGAGCATAGCAATTACTTATTTTAAGTGTATTTTGTTACAAAATATTAATTCATTTTCAAATAAATTTAAACAGGAAATACGGATAAATTGGAATTTTGTTTTTTGGCATTATAACAGCAAATTATAGTTGTATAGGGGATGAAAAAAAAATTGTAGAAATTTGATGTTTAGGCAATTATATTGCTAGTATGCAGGTATAACAGCTCCATGCGTTGTATTTTCCTGTGAAGATCTCGACGGTTTCAATTTTAATCTCATCGAAATGCTTGAGAGACCATCTTTGGGTTTTCATTGTCACTTTACTGGGTACTATACTCGCCTTCAAAGTGGATAACCCCTTTTATTAAACATATTTTCTATGTAACTAATATATGTAAATCTATCAAGTCGGGTTGCAACTGAAATATATATACAGTAAGTTGCATTGAATCGTGCCACGACACTAAGCAAATGCGTGGCGGTAGTTTTATGTGAAAAGCGTGTGATGTGCAAGCGACATACCCAGAAATTATTCTGGCAGCAACCGTCAAAGAGACTGCAGAATTTACTTGATGTCGGTAAATTGGTAATTGACATATCGACATTGTAGTTTATGTAATGCCCGTTATTCTTCACGAAGAATGATTCTTAAATTATATGTTTATTGCCAATAGTTATACATATTGTTTAAATAAATGCAGTGCTTGTCATAGAAATGAAGAAATACGACTACAAATAATGTAATATAGAATGTATACTTCTGTTAAAAGAAAAGATATTGATACTGTAATCGAAGCGTAACAAAATTGAAACCGATTATTACCAAAATATAGATTTTGTTATTGTCATATTTTATTTCGTAAACATTTTTAATGTTTGTTGTTATTAACTGTCCAGCGCATTCCTTCCGCTCGTCATATTTTCTACGCAAGGCTATACATATGGTTAAGATCTGGCGACACATTGAAATTGCAAGAACAAGGAATTCTTGTGAAATATACGATGAGCGCGTGGGAAGCAGTAAGGGGTCACCAGAGTTCTTCGAACATCCAGACTCTAGAGAAATCAAATCATTGATAGAAATGGTTCTTGGACTGATTTCTAAATATACATATCTTTCTATATACGCGAAAGATGGAGACACTCGTAATAGGTATTTTTCAAGGCCGCAGAAAAACAATTAGGAACATCTCTTGGATATAGGAAACGGTCTTTGTCAAAGCCTAGTTTATTGCAACAAACATTGCAAACATGTAAAAAATAAAATATAACAGTAAATAAATCTGTATTATGAAGAAGAAACTTTATTTTGTTTAAAATCTGGTTATAATTTGTTTCTAAGAGTATCGAAGTGTGCGCTTTACTTATCCAATACTTTACCGTTAATTACATGCATTGACAGTGTTTACGGAATAAAATATGGCAATGAAGAAATTTGTATTTTGGTAATAAACAGTTTCAATCTTGTTACACTTCAATTACCGTGTCAATATCTTTTTTTTTTTTTAACAGAAACATGCATTCTGTATTACATTTCATTTGTATTTCTTCATTTCTATGATAATTTGTACGTGGTGATGTAATATTGCATTTATTTAAATAATATGTATGTTACCGGCAAAGTGTAAAGTTCAGGTAATGTATGCTGGATTTTACATTTTGCCGAAGATATGTATAATTATTGGCTATAAACATATAATTCAAAATCCATTTTTCGCGAAAAGTAACGGGCATTATATACATAAATCAAAATGTCGGTATGTCAGTTATCAATTTATACATCAAATAAACGTCGCAGTCGCTTCGATGCAAACTGTTAAGATGGCTGGAGTCAGACTAATTTCTGCACATATCGTTTGCGCATCGTACTTCATTTGATATAGAAGTGCCGCCATCACGCGTTTATTAGAGTGAAATGAATCTATGAAACCTAGTGTAATTGTGTATTTATGGAATTATTAATCGAGATCACATTTTGTAATGAAAAAATAATGAAAATGTTATCATTATTATTGCAACGAAAAATCTGTTTATATAGTTAAAATTTCATAATTTATTTAATAATCTGATGTTTGAATTATGTCGCTTCTATTTGTATCGCGTGCACATAATAAGATGCTCATCAAGTTTTTATACAAATGATCCCTCTTCAGTAGGTTGGCATATACATATGAAATGTCACTTCGAAGATTGAAATTGGCGATTGAAATTTTATTTTGTTAATTATTATAAACTATTTTAAAGAACAACTTGGCTGTAGTATATAGGGTGGGGCATGTAGATATCTTCGCCGTTTATTAATATATGAAAGAATCGTTTAGGACAAAGTTAAACTGTTCAAAGAGGTGAACAAAATGCTAAAACGAAAAATCTGTTCAAGGTCCTCGGTATTTTTCTATAGTATATATTTTTATATACCCTTACAGAGCATAAAAAGACAAATTCAACAACTTAAACAAAGTACATACCACTCGGAACATTTGGCCTCGAAATATTTTCATCCCCACTACATGTATGTATTGAATATTAATAACATTTATCATACCATTATTAAACTTTACTATTTACTACTCATGAATAATCGGAATAGAGGAAAGCTGTTAAAAACGTAAATTTAATACTTTCAGAAGGTTATGTAAACGTTAGGACAGTTTACGAGTGCTTTATAAAATTCAAGGCTATTCATTTTTCATTGGAAAATAAGACAAAGGAAAGGTCTGGAAGTTACACCAATAATAATATTTTAAAAAAGATAATTGAATATAATTCACGATATATGGAATGAAAGAAGTAGCACTTCAAATAAAACTACTATACATACAACGTCGATTATCTAAACGTTGCTTAACGGAAACGCCGATTATCCGAACATTGATTATCTGAAGGACCGATTACCGGAACAGAGATCGAGTCACGCATCTATAGCACCGCAAGTCGTATACCAACACTGTTTACATTTTGAAACACGTATCCTTCATGCTTTAAATGTTCGGGTCCAGTATTTCGTCTGAGTTTAGTATAGGAGGTTAAAAAAGTGTTTGCATATCTACTTTTTCTGCAACAATTTTACACAAAGAAGGGATACATTAACAAAAAATGTATACATTAATAGTCTACTATACAGAACGGTAAGATGTACATTAAAAATTCATAACAATGAATTACAAAAGAATAATACGATACACATAAAAATTTGTCGATCAAAGAAGTATTTGTACGCCTATGATTCTAGTGCTAAATCTGGATTTCACGCATGCGTCGAAACTACGTCCAAAACGTAAACAAGAGTTTCTTTACATTAGTGGCCTTAGTTTGCACCGAATATATGTAGTATACATACAGGGTGGGGCATTTAAATGGGAACACCTAAATATCTCTGTTATTGTTGGTCGTATGAAAAAACTCCAGAGGACAAAGTTATATCGTTTCAAGGGGCACATCTGATGATGAAAAAAATTTTTTCCAGTCATTTTTTTACGAGATTTCAAGGTTATCGGTATTTTTTTAAACGGAACCAAGTATTTTTTTGTTCATATTCTTGTGGAGGGTAGAATGATAAATTCAACCATCTGAATAATGTCTATTATACTGTGCAGTATATTATTAAAAAAATATGAAGAAACTAAAAGTATATACAAGCCACAATCAGACCGGTCAAAGGTACTCATGCTTAGAGTACTTAAGCTACCACTTTTTGCTATCTCAGACAACATACAATACATATGAGACATATGTGAGAAAAAGTGAATTTTATACAATTGTTTGGAGGAATTTCGGGTGAATACAAGAGTACAAAGTACATTCAGAAATTACTGCTGTATTTAAAGGAATAATAGTGATACCCTACTATCTCATACTTACATCAACTTTTTCTAACATTTAAACAATTTTTCAACGAATAAGTTGTTTTAGAATGAAGAACGCGTAGAAGCACTTGAAAATTTTTTATATTACAAAAATAATGTTTTTTACAAGTCTAGAATAATGACATTGGTTAATCATCGAAACAAGTGCATAGAGCCGTGTGGAAATTATTTTTTTAATGACATATTATATATACCAACCTATGATACATGTGCAAAGGGTATGGACGAGAGATATAAAATTATATAAAAGTCTATGAAAGCACCATTATTAATGTTTTATTTAATCACTTTTTTCAAAATTATGTACATGAACATTATTTATTATTGTTGATAGTCAAATAAACAATAATAATAATAATAATAATAGCTTTAACGTAATAGTATCTTTATAATAATCTAGATCAGTGTTCCGAAATTTCTACGCGACTAAAATGAACAAAGCTTCTCTAAAAATATCGCGTTACGCCAATAAAATTTTAATATGTACCGTACATATCTGATGATCAGGTCACAAAAACAAAGTATAACGTGTAAAGTATACTTTAGTAGATTACGGGACACTGGTCTATACGTTACAAATACAAAAAAGATATTAAAGCGTATACCTTACAGAAAAACATCTCGTCATACCTAATTTTCGTACGACACTTTTTTTTACTATATTTACATAAATGAATGAACAGTGATGAAGCTGCAGCGAAATTCGAATACTTGAACTATTCCATCTTTGAAAAATTAGATTATACTGGTCATAGAGTCCTTTATACTTTTCGAGACTATTGCAAGCAAGAAATTTGCAAAATGATTTATTCAATCGAACTTTTCATATACGTTTTCGGAACTGAATATGAATCCACGTAAATGCGACGTGAACTATTTAAAATACAACTATTGTGAAAAAATAAACCTCGGATGCACGTCGTCGGTGACTGTTCTATGTAAGAATGATTGAACGAAATAAGTTTTATTATTATACTGTAGTCAAGCTAATTACAATAAGCTGCCGTACAAGAATTTCTGTGAATAACATACGAAATCTATGATTAAATCATTTTTATACATGAAACAGTACGAAATCTCTATTCGTATTCCTATTTGTAAATTCAATTGACGATGAAACAGCTCAGCTAATATGGCTCCATTGCTTATTTTTTCTTGTAGAAAAAAATGACCTACACTGGATACTATCTGAGCAAATGTGTTTTCTCTGTGTGTGAACTACTTTTCAGAAATGTATATAGTTCTTCGAATAACTTTACATAAATACTTAAGTGGACATTACATAATCGGTAAATTCCTTTTTACAATTTTTTACATAATCATTCGTTGTAATTTCGCATACATTATAATATTAGCCTCGTGTGTTTTCATTCATCGCTCGCTTCGCATCGAGTATGAACAATTTCTTTTTGCCTTTCGTCAGACGTTTTATTATTTATTATTATTACAAAAAAATGCCGACAAGATCGGATTTTGTTCCTTTTCTTTTCTTTTTTTTTTTTTTTAATAAAATCTCTATTTAAAGTATGATCGTCGTTAATAAAAAAAAACAATAGGCGATCAGAAATACGAGTGAGATATAAGGTTTTCCGACTCGTGGCCAACTAGAATCAAATTATATTCACAATCTCTCGCATTTGACTACACGAAACAAAAAAAAAAAAGGAAATAAACTAACATTCATCGCTAAGCGCTATCCAGTGCCGGCAATTTTTTGTACTATGATGTGGAAGTAGTATTCGATTTCTCATTAACTTCCGCGGTCCAGACAGACCGCAAACGTTTTATATCTAACCGCCGATCTGTAGATCGAGAAATAACAAGGAGGATACCCAAGGCGGTGGAAGCGGCTTCTCGCTACTCATTTACATCAAGCGGCATTCTGGACGCATACTAATTTCATAAACGCTAAGGAGAGTATCGCTGTGTCTTTCATAGTCATAGGAACTACCGTCCCAGCAGCATGATTAAAAAAAAAAAAAGGAGAAAGAGAAAGAGAAGAAAAGTAAGAAATAGTCTTTTTGCAACTTCTGCTCGTGTGCTTTTTATTTTCTTTCCTCCTTTATTTACCCCCCCCCACGTGTATCACTAGAATATCATTCGAAGAAGGAAGAAGAGTGTTGTTCCTTTCCGAGAGGCTCGATCACAATCGGCATTCTTTTTCAACGTGTACACGTGAAAGAATAACAAGAATAAACAATCGATGGTCGTCCCGGTGTTAGGAATTCCCGATGATTTTCTCGTCAACCACTTGGGCTAATAGGCAAGGCACCGTGATCTTGGCGTTCCCATAAAGACAAAAAGCATCTGGGACCCGCCTAGATCCAAAAAAAAAAAAAACCATCGACATTAAAAGCATTAGAAATCTCTTCAGACTTTCCCACCAAGATAGAGATGACACGGGATTTGCCGAATCTAGAAAGAGCATCACTCTCTTCTGCTTACCTTATAAAATCCTAAGTCACAGCGACCCAGAGTGATTTCAGTTACAACTTTACCCCGGTGTGTTACTCTGTCACTCCGCGATCCCGTTGCACGCCTTCCTCTCGAGTGCAGTAAAGTCTATTTCTTCTTCGGTAAAGCTTTTGCACTGGGAAAACACCCGCGTAACAAGAAATTTCTGGTGGCAGCAGTGGGTTAGGTTACGACAGTCCAAGCAATTTCGTAGAAGAAAGCAGATGTGATCCGTGCGTATACTTGGGATGCGCTGCTGATTACCTCGGTAATCAGCGAGAAAACAGAAGAATTCGTGCAATCGAAACTGTTAATTACCATGTAATTAACTACGAAAACTCTACTATATAATACCGCTGCTTGTATTCGGTTAACCAACGAACCGACATTCAGCGGAATGGGTTTAGAATTAATATCAGGGGAATCACACCAGATTCGGTTGGCGGAAATCTTGGACGCATTTCACATCGACTGATGTCCGGTGGTCTGTCAGAGCGATCACCTGAATTACATCTTGACGTTTGCATCGAGAAACTCGGATTTATTTTTAAGTACCTCTTCTTGCTTATCTGATTACGCTTACACTTCCATGGGTCACCGACAAGTACGGTTTCGACCTTGCAGGGGGCGCCAGATGTTTGCCTTTTTCACCGGAATAGGTTAGTCGTAGCCGGCGCTTTGATTATTGCCAGTAAGAGGAGATAGACGTCTGGCACTTTGATGTATGATATCGTTGGAATAGGAGAAAGAGTAACAACCAGGAACCTCAACTAGCCGAGATAATGCAGCTCGAAAAGGGAGAAGCTGTGCGATGTCATCTTCCACTTCTGTAATGGAGATTGTTGACGAGTTTATTAGTGAAACGTACAACCTTCCCTCTCCCACTCCTCTCTCTGCCCAAGTCGACGCATCGGGATTTCTTCGCTGAATTCGATCGTAATTCAATTTACAAACAAACGATTACCGCGGGCTATACAGCGTTTCGGAAAGTAGTAGGCTGGGGCCACTTAGGCAAATGTACTACGGATACATTTGCGACATATCAAGCAACCTCCTTAGCGAGTTAACGAAGCAGGAGGTTCCAGATCGTGGATGCGGCGAATAGATGGTGTGGGATTCTGTACATCGGTAGAGTATTCAAGAATGACGACAACATGGAATCCTACCGCGATTTTAGAAATTTGCATTATACATCAGGTTTACCGCGTTAACTTGTACATGCTCTTGTATAGGGTTTATGTTGCGCGATATTCCTAATTCGGTATTGAGTCCTACTCCTGTTCCTGTTGGCTAAGGAAGTTCGACAAGTGTTGGCCGTTGTGACCCAAATTCCCATAGCAACTGCTACCCTGTTGCGCGCAGTTGGTCGCATTGATTCTAATGACGTATGGCATTCATTCTTGCCAAGCAATCCGGAGCCTACCGCTGAGTGGATTGTTCTTTATCTCAACCCTACTAATATCCAAGACGTCATTGAGACTCTGCATAACCCCGCAACCGAAAGAGCGTTCCGTGATGGATTTAGGGCAAGACACCGCTGATGGATCCGTCCTTGCAAATATCAACGAGATTTGGCCGGCTGACTATAGCACTGACTCCCTACAGGTTGAGGTCCACGCGTATAATAACCTGGTGGCGCGTGTGAGCTCTAGATTACCAAAGAGCTTTGTGTCGACTATGCCAACTGAGGGATTGGCTTCGAAAGCTGGTGTGATCTCAATGGACTCTCATCCAATGCGTATTGAGAGCAATTTTATCTTATCTCAAACTACGCCTGTACGTAAATCAAAACGTACTATGGCAGGAACTACCGAAGTGGTGGAGACGGTCCAGAGCGAGTATCGGTTTCTAGGCGAGGTTGTTCGGAACCTGACGCAATTAGCGTCTGTTTGGTCGCCCGACTCTAGTATAACCGGAGTTCGGCTGACTGTCGGAGCAGCTGTGATGGTTGGTGAGCGGGCTGGAGGTGAGGCGTACGTCCGTTTGCAAGTAAATGCGAAGCGTTTGGCGCACATCTCGCCAGGCGTAGCGTTGAACGCTACTGTGGACACCCCACGACCTAAGACGTAGTCGCCCCATCCTGGATGGGGAGAGACCATTAACAATAATTTCTCAATGACTGGTTCATTCTCCCCCATACTGGGTAGTGGCAATGCCACGTTACGTTTGGCGACACACCAAAATAACGCTCCAAGTGGAGATCGTGGATTCGAAATCACATCATGGACAAGGAGGAATTACCTAATCGTAAAGCAGTAGATGTGGTCGTAGGAAAGATATCGAGGTTCTGTATGAATTCATACAATGTACTCATGCTACGTGAAAAATCACGTAATGCCGTTGAATAAACGAATATATGTGTGTGTGTGTGTGTGTTCCTTCAATTATTGACTCGTTATGCCGACTTTTAAGATAAGAATTGAGGACTATTAGAAACTACAAATTATCTGTTCGAAGACAAATGTCGCTTGGGCAGAGTAGAGATTCTGTCCACCAATACCTAAAACGATTTACTGATTGCCAACCAGAGAGACTTCGGTTTTAACTTTACGAGTAGACACACTGTCACACTGCGATCCCCTTGTACACTACCGCTCAAAAGTACCTGGACATTTCCTTATTCTCTACAAAATGTAGTTTAAGTTAGTAGAAAAAGTATTTACACTCATTTTATCTTTTGTAATTGTTATTATTATGTATACTAAAGTATCGTAGCACGCTAAAATTTATTTTTATGTACAAATTACATAATTAAAATGCAATAATATAATTTCTGTTTTATAAAGACGAAACCTAATGGAACGATTTCGTTGTTTGAGAAGGTCTGAAGATTTAGTTTATTTCATTTCTATGGTACAGATCGATTTCAGAGAGTTCTCCTATTAAGTTATGCTCTCTCGATAGGGATAAGAATGGAGCTAACGCTTTGCTTTAGTTCGTCTGTTGCTTTTCCTATGTTCAGTTATGAATTCGAAACGAGAATTATCTTTACTCTTGCGGAAAAAGGATACTCAATTCGAGAAATTGCTTTAAGGAAGAAAATTCTGAAGTCGACAGTGCATGACACTGTCAAGTGTCCGGATACTTTTGAGCGGTAGTGTACGTCATCTTCTTCGGTACACTAAAATCTTTTCTTCTTCGGTAATGTTCGGTACTTAGAGAA